ACTGATTCATGATCAATGGAAAGCTCTAACGAGCATTTTCCCCCAAACTCTGATTCTTCTCATGGTATCAGAGCCTGGTTGCTCTCAATACTAGGGTTTCAGTCCCCATTCCAGTTTTCTGCACTTTTGTTCTTCCTTTCCAGATCGTCACCTTAGATCGTCACCACTGCCTCACTTTCCCTCTTTTCACTTTTCTTGCCTTAACCAAAGACGATGGACACTAGATCTGGAGATGACGCATCCAAATCTGGATCTGGTACTGAGAACGCCGGCAAGTCCACTATGGTGACCTTTCCTCAGTATGAAGATCCATACCTAAATCCCTATTACCTACCACCTCAAGATGGCGCTCTGTCAACAATCATCTCCATCAAGCTGGGAGATGGAAACTACCACACTTGGAGTCAAGTTATGCTGGTTGCTCTCGCCACCAAGAACAAAATCCCATTCATAGATGGACAAATTCCAGTTCCTGAGGTAACAGATCCCATTTACCAATCCTGGCTTCGTTGCAATGGAACTATTCGCTGTTGGATCTACAATGCTTTAGCTAAAGAAATAGCGAATAGTGTTATGAGACTCGAGAATGCTAAGGATGTATGGGATAACCTTAAGAATCGTTTCAGTCAGGAAGATAACATGAGGGTTTATGACCTTAATGAGCTGCTGGGTAAGTGTGTTCAGGGTGAGAAATCAGTTACCCAATATTTTACTGATATGACTGTGTTCTGGGAGGAGTATAAGAGGTATAGACCCATACCTCACTGTGCTTGCAATGGTCCCTATGAAGTGATGAAAAGGTACCAAGATAATGACTTCATTATCAATTTTATGCAAGGTCTCAATGACTCCTATCAGTCTGCAAGAACCCAAGTGTTGATGAACCATGTCCTTCCCAGCATTGATGCTGTCTTCAAGCAGATTCTGCAGCTTGAGAGGCAAATGAAATGTGTCAACAAGAGCAAAGGTGTGGAATCAGTAGCACTTGCAGCATCATCCAACCACAACAATCAGGGGTCTCAACACCCACAAACCAGTGATAGAGACTTCAAGAATGGGAAAAAGTTTTGCAGGTACTGCAAAAAGGACTATCACACTGTGTTTGAGTGCCTTAAGTTGAAAAATAAAAAGGCAAGAGAGGCTGGAGGAGGTGGCTTTGCTGGTTCAGTGGAAACAGGAAATGAACCAGAAGGCTCTCATGGAGTCCTGGCTGCTTCTGCTTCAGTGAAGAGAAGCTCTGATTCACTAACTAAGGATGGAGGTTTGGCAAGCCTGCAGTTGAGCAATGAACAAATGGAAAAACTGAGAATGCTTCTGTTTGACATGGGTAAGTTCTATGATAGCATTCATGATTCTTTTTCTTGCAGATGTTTTGGCCAATGTAGTCAAAATCGCGCTTTAAAACTTAAAAACTTACGATTTTACGCTTTTGGGTCACCAAAACGCTTTCGTTTCCATATAAAAACTTAAGTGTATAAAATCGGACTAAATTGCGCTTTAAAACTTAAAAACTTACGGTTTTACGGTTCTAGTTCACCAAAACGCTTTACGTTTTTACGCTTTTAGTTCGCTACATGAGTATTCTTTTCATGAAATTAATTATAAAAAGTATATTTTTAAAGTAAATCACTAACAATATGATACATTTGAGATTAAAAGATACATACTAGGTACTTGGATGCATTCTACTTCAATAGAGTAATCTAATTCACCAACTAGGGTTTTCCCAAATTCATTAGCATAGAGGAAAAAGTGGCTTATCGTTAAAATTTATGTTTACGAACTTATTATTAAGATGCTATAAGTTGCTCTACTTTAAACATGAATCACATGTATTTATTAACTTATCTAAATTTCGTGCATTCATATTTTGCATAGCATATGTCCTACTTAATAGATTTTTAGTTATTTTTCAGTATGCGTCAAAAACTTACGCTTTTACGCTTTAATTCTACGTTTTACGATTTTACCCCTTTTCCGCTTCTAGGTAGAATCGCGCTTTTGACTGCATTGGTTTTGGCATTTTGTGATGCCTTATAATGGTGTTTCACTCATCATTTCCTTTTCCCCAACTGCCATGGCAATTCTCTACCGACTATACAACGGGTGTTGGCAGGCAATTTTCACCATGCCCCCGGAGGAGCAATACTAGAGGACATTTGCAGGCTAGCCGGACTGCTCCAGTTATGTTCTTGTTCACATATTACTCGTCAAGCTAATAGAGCAGCCCATTTTGTGGAAAAAAACGCTCTTTCATCGAAAATTCGACGATTAGTCGACTTTCGCCCGTGGTTAAACTGTGTACTCTGACTTTGTTTCCGAACTTTCGTTCGTTGTTGACTATGTTAAAAAAAAATTGGGTGCTAGAAGGCCTAGGGGTGGGCAACGGGAAACGGGTAATTGGGTATACTCATATCCATCCCGTTTTTTGGAATTACGGGTACACAAATACCCGTAATTTTTTTTTACGGGATGTGACTTGGGATGAAAAGTTGCTACTTTGGGTATCCGCGGGTTACCCATTAATACCCGTTAGTCTAAAAGTCCAAAACACAAATAGGGATGGCAACAAAACCCGAACCCACGAGTATCCTACCGGACCCAACCCGGTCAACGCGGGTTAAATCCGTGTTGACGGGTTTTGGCCTGGGTTCGGGTTTAAACCCGTTCACTATTCACCGGGTTGGATTTGGGTTTAGGTAAACCCGTCCCATGGGTACCCGCCTACACCCATATAATTAATTTTCCCGGTATATTTAATATTCTAAACAACTAATCATCTTTATGTTTGTGGAGACATATCTAATTTTTTCTTTCTAATTGTGTAGAATGAAGTTGATACTATCGAGTGGAGAGTGAAGAAGTTTAATTGACAAGGAGGAAGAAGTTTTCAATTAATCATGTTGTTTATGGATAATTTGTGATTTGCTTTAATTTTTTTGAGTTTTCTAGAGTGGCGTTGAATAATTTGTATGGTTAATTTGTGATTTGTTTGAATTTTCTAGAATGGTGTCTTATATATGGATTATTTGTATTGAGAGATTGATATTTGATTTTTATTTTGATAGGAACTTGTTATTGTAAATATTTTACGAACAAAATCCATGGGTACCCATCAACCTTTGGATACCCAACGGGTTGGGTTGGGTTGGGTTTGAGTTTTTCAAACCTAATAAATTTTAATCCGAATTTTTTTACGGATAAACTCATGGATTTGACAAAACCCGACCCAACCTAACCCATTGTCATCCCTAATCACAACCCCACCCCACCTCCTGCCGCCCCATTCGATTTCCCACCGCAGGTTTGTTTTATAGGTTTGACTCTCTTTTAGTGTTCATTGTTGTTTTGTAGGTTTGTTTTATTGTTTTATGGCTAAATTACATGTTTGGTCACTCAAATTATATAAATCTTTCACGTTTGCCACCCGAATTACTTTTCTTTCTTATTGACCACTAACTTTACGAATCGTTTCATCGTTAGTCACCGGCCGTCAGTCTCCGTCACACTCCGTTAACACCGTTAAATTTTTTATGACGTGGCAAACAGAATAGCTGACTGGACCGTTAACTTAATTATATGTCAATTTAAAAAATAAAAAAAAGTATTCCACCTCATCCTCTCCTCAAATCAACCGCAACCTGTCTCTTCTCCTTCCTCTTCGCACGACCAGCAGTCCGACGAACGACAACCTCCGCCCTCTTCCGTTCAGGTCGGAGCCTCTCCAAAGCCGCCTCACCAATTACTTCTTCCAGCATAGTTCTTTCCCTCATCCGCGACCAGAGTTCTGCATCTCTCTATCAACTGAAGATGCTGCTCTTCTTACTTCACCTCTTCACCGAACTAGCCAAAATAAATCACCCACACATACCACTTCTTTCCCCGACGGTGGGTAAAAAACCCAATATCCAGGAGTCGGTCCCCACCAATTGCTCGACTCCATCGTTTCTCGCAGACTCATTCAGTTCTCCGATCTGATCCCTCGAGAGTTCACAAGGCAATTTTAGGGCTCACAGAGCCTAGGGTTCCCAGCAACGCCAATACAATGCCGATCCTCCCGACCAGCAATTTGCCTGAGGATTTCGATTGGAGGGAGAAGGAAGCGATTACTCCCGTCAAGAATCAGAGAAACATATCTCAGCCATATCTGCTCCCTCCCTCGCGCTGACTGAACTCCAGGCGCCGTTTGTCGCTGCGTTGGCCGATGAAATATTGCCTGGTTACTCCCCTGCCGATGCCGCCTTTGTTGTGGGTGCGGTGGCGGAATCGAGAATCTAGACTGCTTGGCGAAGCAGCAGTAGAACTCGTAAGCAGTCCTGAGATACGAATACACCAGCTCAATGCGCGTCGAATTCGGCAAGATCGGTTGAAAGTGAAAACCCTAGAAATCTGATTGAATCCGCCATCGATGGGCATTCTCTGAACTGGCCGTACCCATTAGACACCGAGCTTCGACGAGGCGGTGACAGAGGAATCCATTGGCAAATGGCAACTCGCCTCATTTTTGTCTAATTAGTTTATATTTTATATTATTATTTTTTTAAATTCACTTGTCATTAAATTAATGATGTAGTCAGCAGTTCCGTTTGCCACGTCATCAAAAAACTAACGGAGTTAACGGAGACTAACGGTCGGTGACTACGGTGAAACGAATCGTAAAGTTAGTGGCGAATAAGAAAGAAAAGTAATTTGAATGGCAAACGTGAAAGATTTATGTAATTTGAGTGACCAAACGTGTAATTTAGCCATTGTTTTATTGTGTAATTGTTTGTAGGTTTTTCACAGTAGCCTCTTTAACGATCCTTAATTGTTCAATTGTGTGCTTATGCTGGTGATGGTGGCAGCTTCTCATTATTATGTGGGTTTGTTTAATTGTATGTTAAAACGATTGTAGTTCTTCTACTAATTGGACGGGTATTTATAGGTAGTATAGTTACCCGCTATCCGTTTCATACGAGTAATAGGTACCCGTTAACTTGTATGGGTTTGAAACATAGATTATGGAATGAAAATTACTCTCCAAATGGGATTGGGTACCGGTTCCAAATGGGACGGGTATCCCGTCTCATCCCATTGTCCGCCCCTAAGAAGGCCCAACTCTTGGAGTACCATATAATTGGGCGATCCAACCTAACTCATCAGGTCCAATAACTCTGGGGCGGAAACCGGGTGCGGGTACCCGCAGCTTGCATCGGTCTTGTTCGTGGACTTTCCACGAATGTCCTCAGTGCACAGTAGTCTCCTTCCTCCGGTAAAATATGTCGCCCGATAGATAGAGATTCCGGCGACAAATCTGAGTTTCGAGCGGAGCGGAAAGAGGAAACAGAGAATCAAAGATATAAAAGATGATGATGAAGAAGAAGAAGGATTTCCGAATTCTGGCGCTGCTCCTTCTCTCTCTTCACTTGCGAATCAGTTTTACTTCTGGTAATAACTTCTCTCCTTTTGTTGAAATCTTCGTTAACTCAGCAGCACAAAGAACTGAAGGAATTAGACGATAGTATGGCCTCTTGTGAATTTTGACAAACCTGGAATTGGGGTTATTGGTGGACTTCTGTTTGCTTTTACTTGGAGCTAAGATTCTGTTGATTTGGTTCTTTTCACTTTGTTCTTAGACTTTGGTTCTGGTTTAGGGCAACATAAACCTTGATCATTGAAATGCTGATGAAGAGTGATTGTATTGGTCTGAGATTGAATAATATAAGGATGGGTTTCGCCTCTTGAATTGAAACATGGAGTGGGTTTGTGAACTTCGCATATATAGTACATGTTTTAGACTTGCTTTTCGTTTACTGCAGAGAAGAGATACCTTTTTTTATAAGAAGACTGAAAGTTGTGAAGAGTTTTTGTTATGGTCTGAAATTGAATGGTTAAGCTTCAGTTATCGATCTTGAATGGAACTAAGTGTTGCTTTTGAAATTTGCATTTAGGATTCCATAATCTCCTTGTATGGTGCTGATTTCTAAATGGTGAGAGTGTTTTCTAAGTTCTAAATTCATATAGTTAAGGTTCAGTTTGCTCTTGATGAAATATAGTGCTTCGTAACTTGGCATTTGGGTTTCTATTCTTTTCTTATTTAGTGGCTATGATAGTTAGGGAATTGATATCCGTAGCTCAGTCACATAAAAATAATGCATATAGCCAGAGAGTTTAGTTGATTTCTGTAAGATAGATGAACCCTCATGACATATGCCTATAATTTTCTTTTAATGTCTGCCTCCGATTCTTGCAGGGAAATCGGAGGGGGTCTGTGTGTCTAAAGGTGGTCGTTTCCCACCCTACTCAACTGAAAGCCAACCTCCTAGAAAGGTAAGCAAGGGTTCCAGAGATTTGACCCTTTGCAGGGTCTTTCGCAAAAAGACTTGCTGTGATGTAGCTCAGACGTATCCTGCTTTGCTGTCCCTTAGGAGGCTGGCTTCAGTAGGGGAAGCCAAAGACTCATGCTTGCAGTTTTGGGAAGCCTTGGAATGTTCAATTTGTGATCCGTTAGTCGGTGTCCAGCCTGGACCTCCTGTTATATGTGCTTCTCTTTGTGACCGAGTCTTTCAATCTTGTGGCGATGCTTACTTCTCCATGGATTCCAAAACACGGGTATCATTTCCTGTCTCTTAAGTATCTATTAGCGCTAAAACTCATCAAATGATGATGAAATCAGTCTAGGTTCTATTGGAAATCAGTTGATATGATAACAAAGCTTTAGGGCCATTTGGTTGATGGATTTGAATGGCGGGGTTGTTTGTTTCATTGAATCCATCAATAAATGAATTTGGCCGAAATCTCTCTTTTAGTTGGTATTTGATGGTAGTGGTGGATTGTGGTATAGAGATGAAAATTTAGTTATGAGATGGAATGGAAATATAACCTTGGGTTTTCGTAAAAAAATAAAATAAAGACCTTTGGTAGGTGATGTTTTTATCTCTCCGCTGTTGGACAATTTGTCCTGATTAATTCACTAATTATTATAAACTGTCTCCAAAAATCATGCACAGTGAGAGAAACTAATAAGGAAAAAAGTTGTGGCAGTTGTAACGCTAATTTTGCCTTCTGATCTCGTTTCCTACAAGCCATCACTCACAATCCACTGGATAAGACACTCCATCCGAACAATAACAGTTTCACAATTCACCACCCACAATCTATTTCAAAAGGCATCCATTATTTGTCTAACTAGTCATGCAGACTCAAGATAGTGCATACTTTTTCTTACTTTCTTCTCTCACAAGGCTTGACAAACTACATTTTCTTTCTTTCTCTTCCTGCCAGTTTCTAGCACCATGTGGAGTGAACGACTTTCTCTGCGGTAGAGCTGCTGAGTGGGTGTCCAATGGAACCGATTTCTGCACTGCACTGGGTTTCAGGGTTGAAGTTGCCGAGCACTCCTACCGTGCTGCCAATCAAGCTACTTGCTATGGTGGTAAAGGCAGTCTTGATCACATTGCTGATTCATGGAATCAACCAGAGATGCACCAAAGACCGGTCAGTTTGAATTGGTTAGAAGAGTTCCAGCAAAGGGTGCTGGATATGTCATTTAGTGAAAGGGTTTCTTGGGCTGTTGGAGGGATGGTTCTTACTGCAGGACTCTTGTTCATAAGGTTAGACCCTCTTGCTTCCTGACTTATATATGCTACAAAGGTCTATGGGTTTGAAGAGCAAGAAGTAATAAGTCATTTACTTGGTGACTATTGTAGCAAAAGGAAGAGTTACAGTCGGGGTCAGAAGCTAGCGGCTATACAGAGGGCAGCTAGGAAACTAAGATGAATGTTTCATCCAAATATGTGCATGATCTCTGGTTGAATACTATGGTGAGTCTTCATAGGCATACTACTGTAATCACATAATGACCTGTTTCGTTTATCTTTCGATTAGTTCTTGATGTTCATGAGTTGAGTACTTTCTCTTACATGATCAACGATTTACTGGAAAATTGGAAGTTCTTAGAACATGCTTCCGACTACTATGCCGTTCATTAATTATTTTGATCGTCAGAACTAAATCACTCTGGAATCCGTGAATCTGATACGCACATGTTTTACATCTAATGCAGCTTTCTCTCGCTGTCGGATTTGCTTTTTGCCAGACCATATTCTACAAGCTGTCTGTTGGAATTACAGAATCCCCTAATTCAAGGATCACTCAAAGCTTGAAGTTGCAGAAGAATTCGTCGGATGTTTGTCAGGCTGTTGTACAAAAGAAGACATGGTTGCCTTTTCCTTGGCAACTACCATAGTTGGTCTTTTTGACAATAGAGTTTTGCTGCGATGGCTCTTGTTAATTTTACCTTAGTTTCAGAATGTTGGTTCTGCTGCATTAAGGGGGAGGATAATAGGACTCTTGTTCGTAAGCCAAAAAAACCTTTTACTTGTACAAACATACACAAAAAAGAAATTTTCATCTGGCTGTTTTCCTTAATCCCTTTCAAATTACCTTTACAGATATCAAAATGCTAATTAATCAACAGGAATAACAAGTTACATAAAGGGTTATCCAGCTCAAAAAGAAAAGAAGAACAAAGAATAAAGCTATGTGTAGGTGGGTTTGAAAAGAAGAGAGAGCTTCTTTCTTCTATAAGCCTGCATTTCTCAACTCCAAGATCTTCTCCTAATCATGAACAGTTAGGTAAAACTCCAAATCTCCATTCTTGCTCTGTGTCAAGCTTTAACCAGTTTTAGGAGGCTGCTCAAAACCAAACGAAAAAGGGTGAAATTGCAACATCAGATCGTTTTCATATGCCCATAAGGAAAAAAGAAAAAAAGAAACAGATAAAATTTGGAGATTGTATATACCTTCTTAAGGGGCTTCGAACTGCTGCCTGCTGATGAAGCTGGTTTTAGTATCTCAAAGGAGCAAACGAGGGATTCATCTACGCTCAATAGAGCACCTGCGTTGTCGAATTCCCCACCATAGTTAGGAGCAGAGAAGATCGTGACCAATCGTCGCTGAGCAAAGAACTCATATCCGTCTTCCACCACCTGAAGATTTTTAAACATGATAAATCTCAAAACAAGGGGCATGTTCGGTTACTAATCACCTGACAGAAACTTGCAAACTTGCACACCGAAATTTAAGGTAACAAATCGGTCACTAAATCTTGAAGTTAACAAACTTGTACCTGAAGTCTGGAATAACTAACATATACTAGTCACTTTGTCCAATTTTATCAGATTTTCCATCCAATTTTGTCCAGGCTAACGTGCCAACTTCTTCTGACATCAACGACAAGTCCTTCTGAAAACCGAAGTTTAACGACCCAAATGACTTTAGTGACTGCTTACTAATTGACCCTAAGTGAGGTGTCCAGTGGCTGTACAGTTAGGTGAAAAAGAAGACCACCACCTAAAAATTCTTTGCATTACTTCCAAATGACTCTTAAGATCAGATAGTCAGTAACAAGCGTTCTAAATCTTGGTCTCCTATATTCCACATATAGGGGCAACATTGTCTTGCTTTGCAAGTTTCTCAAAAGTAATCCTTCATTCTTCTAATCTCCCCAATTCTTGGCAAAAACATTCCCCCAAAAGCCTCAATGGTCAACACTTACCACTAAACTTCTCTAACCTAACTCTCACCAAAAAGATCATGCAACAACATAACCATATTCATCAACACCGAAAACTACACCAAGAAAGGAATGAAAGTAGTACCTGATGCCCTCTACATATAAGATCAAGATCATTCTTGTCAAGAAAATCTGCGACTATATCAGCTCCAAATGTGCATGAAACCCCTCGATCACTGTCCGCCCATCCTTCATTGGTCGGATGTGGATCAGACCAAAGCAAATCACAAAGAAGTCCGCCGTCTGGAATCTCTGTTGGCCTCTCAATCTCTCTTATCTGATCCAGATTCTCCAAGTCAGGCGACAACCCTCCATGCATGCAGAGTATTTTCTCGTCAATGAGAGCTGCCACGGGCAAGGAGTTGAAACAGTCTGTGAATATTTTCCAGAGTCGGACGTTAAATCTCCTCTTGCACTCATCGTAGAAGCCATATATCCGATTGATCTTTGCATCCTCGTGGTTGCCTCTCAATAGGTGGACTTTGTCAGGGTATCTGATTTTGTAGGCGAGGAGGAGGCATATGGTCTCCAAGCTTTGCTTCCCTCGATCAACGTAGTCTCCTAGAAAGAGGTAGTTTGCAGAAGGAGGGTACCCTCCATATTCGAATAGCCTCAGAAGGTCTTGGTATTGTCCGTGTATGTCGCCTACAAAGAAGTGGGATAAAGGAAATCATTGGATTGCTCAAAACTACAGAATTTCTGATCATGATTCAAGATTGCAAAGTAAACATTTCTCCATCCTGCATTTCCAATCAATCCCAACTTAAAAAGGTAAGAATTGAGCAACAGTATAAATGTTGAAGGCAATTCCACTTGAACAATTCATCTTTCATTGAAAACCCATAAACGTTGACCTTACCCCTAAATCAATCACCCCTGCCCAATTTCCCCCATTGCACCATCTCTTCCTTACCCACACTATGAACAGAAATTGATTCTCAATTCTCAATCAGCTAAACCAGAATTAACCCTAATCTGCAAAATTGCAAAATCCTAGCAAGCGGGGGCATGGAAGTCGTACCGCAGATTCGAATTGGAGCTTTGATCTCGACGAGAACCGGTTGGGAGAGGAAAATCTGGCGAGCGTTAACGCACAATTGACGGATCTCCGACTCCGATAGCTGAACCTGCTTCCCTCCTTTACCTTCCAATAGCCTCCTTATTATATCCTCCAGTACTCCTTTATCCATCATCCCCTCCATCGTCATCATCATCATCTTTCTTGCTACCTGCAACCCACTTCCCCAAATCCAACAAATCAACAGAACAGGCTCTCAAGATGGAAAATTTGTGTAGTGATACGAGATGGGTATGGCCCTATTTTTGCCTCACAAACTCAATTTTTTGCAAATAAACTAAAAAGAACAGGAAGAAAATTATAGAGAGAGAGAGAAAGAGAGAGAGATTTAGGAGGAAATGTTCCTCCATGAATTATCTTTCTTCTTCTTCCCTCCGTTCATGATTGACAAACTCTAATATTCTGTTTTCTTTCAATGATGTGATTTCCTCTGTGTTTTTTTCTTTCTCGGGGAAGGAAAGGAAAGGAGAGGGAAGGAGCAGTGGGAAGCTAATTATCTCATCGTCAGAGCCAACTGCCAAAGGGGAAACTCGATTTTCCTATAATTATTCTATATCAGGAGAAATATGAATGATTGACCAGAGGTTGAAATCTTCAAAGGTGGGAAGGAAAGGAATGTGATCTGTCTGAGAGCAAAGCTATCAAGCAGAAGGAGAGGGAAAGAATGGCGACAGCACAACACACACAAAAAGCATCAAAACCGCGTTTTTCAAAAATTCGGTTACGGGCCTTCCTTAAAGTTTGAAGTTTGGGCTAAAGAGGAGATTTTGAGCCCGTGGAATAAGCTATATTGGGCCTTTATCTAGATTAGAGCCCAATTTCTTTCCCCACCCACATCCGCCAAACGCGCTTTTGTTTTCCCGGTATCCACAAATGGAAGACCCACGTGCCCGAAACCGACCCGACCTACGTGGCAGGCCTCCGGGCAGCCGCCACGTCATTTAGCCTCCTGTGGCTGCTGGCGGCCTAAAATAAAATTCCCCCAAATAAAAAAGATTTGTCGCCAAGTTCGCTTTTTCCTTCCTCCGTCGGCTCTCCCAATATATAAATACCAACCAGCGAAGGCGCAGGGAATTCAATTTACAACAAAACAAGCGGCTACATATCTGGTATTCCGGTTTCGATCTTATTCCGAAACATACCCCGCTGATATTTTCTCGTCGGAAAAAGCAAAGGGAATTCGCCGGAGAAAGAAATGGGTGAGGGCGGCAACGGCACGTTCGAATCAATCAGGGACTGGGTCTCCGAGCACAAGATGAGATCCGTCGGTAAGACTCCCGAGATCCTTCCCTCCATGTCAATTTCGGGTTTTTCGCGTAATGGGTTGCAGCTGATTTTGTTTTTTGGGGGGGTTTTTGTTTTGATTGATTGAAGCGACCTTGTGGGCGAGCGGGATTGCTGGCTCGATAGCGTACAATTGGTCGCAACCCAACATGAAGACCAGCGTCAAGATTATTCATGCTAGGTAATAAAAGTTTCGAGCTTTGGTGCTTTGTTTTCTTTCTTGGTTTCTAGGGTTTTGTACATTTGTTCTTGATTGTGGATGTGGTGGTGTTTTGGGTTATCTCATCAATGGAGCAAATTACCCTTTTTATTTTTTAATGTCTCATGAGGCTTTCTCTGTTTATGTAGAATAATAGTGTTATCCTGTTTCTGCTGTAGATAACTAAATTATGTATTGAGAGCCCGGCTTAACCTATGTCTAGGATTTCGCCAGTGTTTGGTAAACCATTGAACAGCAATGATGACCTGCCGCCGAGTTGGAAAGGTTGAGAACTATGGTGTGTTTAGGCAGAGCATGGACATAGATGGTTGAGACTTTTGAGAGTCCAGCTTCATAGAAATCTCTTGGGGTTCCACCATGTTTTGATGAATATGGTTCGAATAGCAGTTATGCCAATGATAGAGATTGTAGGGAACTATAGCAGGGTTTCAGGAGAACAATTCAGGCAGCATGCCCTTCCTAATTCCTGAATGTTTGAGAATTTAGCAACTTTATCTTGTTTGTGAATAACTGCTGGATATTGCCAAGTCAGTTCAATGATAAAAATAAAATGTGCCGTATAAGCTATCCCCCCTCCCCCTTTCTTTCATTGATAACTACATGTGTTGAAATTGTGGGTAGAATGTTATCAGCTACCGCAACCTGTATAATTAGTTTGGTCATCGAACTGGAGCAATGGTGGCTGGACAGTCTTCCAAACTAGTTCGGTTTTCAAACCATGAATGCATTTGTCAATCCCATTTGCTCTTATTGCTTCCCTTTCCAGCCACTGATCATCTTGTCGTGTGCGATTTTGATTATTTGTAATGATGGCCAATTGTTGACCTTATGCAGTGTATCCCATCTGTTTGATCAAATATTTGCTAACTTTGACCTTTGAACCTCAGGTTGCACGCGCAGGCATTTACATTGGCTGCTCTCGTTGGATGTGCTGCAGTTGAATACTATGAACGTACACAAACCGAAACAGCAAAAGCGAAATGAGCACTTGAGGTTGCAAATTGCCAGGGAAAGGGCGGGCTCAAATGACAGGTTCATGGCCCATTTCCAAGTATTCTATTGCTGTAGTCCTAACGGTATTGCCATTGGTTGAAGTGGGTTACAGTTCCTTATAATTTTTTGTTTTTGTTTCTAACTTATTGTTTATTCGGGCAGACATGTGTACTGTATACATTATACTTTTCCAGTCGTTAATAATAGTTTCACTCTCCACTAGTCCGGTTACTTCAACCGCTGGAGCTAGAACCATTATCACCATTCCTTGTCGAAGTCATTCTCGAATGGTGTCTTCAATCCTCTGTATATCTTAAATATGTTCAACTTTTGGAATAGATTTCGTACCACTCACTGTAGAGACGAGCCAAGAGTCTGTCATGAATTGATTGCTCTTGCCTCTAATCACGCCTCTGGTGCTGGCTGGTAAGGTCTGGAACGTGGTCGTCGGTGTCCAGATGCTTATCGTGTTCAGATATCCTTTGCTCAGATATCGTTTGCTTGTCTTGTTGAGTGGTATTACAGATTGGCAATGGCCTTTCGCTTGAGCAAGAAATTGGCTCTTGAGCCGACTACCTTCAAACTGGCTTCCCGGATTCCTCCTATGCATAGCACAAAGCACATGGATATTTACACATTTCAACAGTAACGAATTTAAGGACTTAATTAGATCAACCCACCCCTAATTGGATGGAATAAGCACCAGAAGCTTGAAGAAATAATCAAAGAAGTGTGGATACTCTTAGGATCGTGGATACTCTTAGGATCGACAAATGCAGCTATTGAATCATGAACCAGCACAAGAAAAAAAAATTACACTAATGTATTATGATTTAATGATAATCAACTGAAGATTTATCAATACCGATACCAATTACAGGTGGTAGATGGATCGGTGAATTGGATTGGTAGATTTATTGACTAAATTAATTATGTGATTATAGTCGACGGATTGGTCAAAGATGTAAGTTGGGTTAATACCTTATTTTGGCCCGAATTATACCTAAATAATCAATTTTGACCCGTGATTTTAGTTGTCGATATCCTGCCCTCAACTATACACCATATAGTACTTTTTCACTCTCTCTCTAGTTTCAAATCCTCTGACCTCTCTCTTACTTTCCTTTTTCCAATCTCCACAGGGGGTCGCCGGCTTCACCTTCGGGTGACTGGCGGCAACCCATTTTCCCCTTTTCATCTTGTTGCTTTCCTCTTCCATCCCCTTTGTGGGTCTTTCCAGTTCCATATTTGCTTTCTCCCTAGTGGATTTTGCCATGAATCTCTCCTCGGAGATGGTTCCTCTTCCACACTTCAGATCTGTTGTCAGGTCTTGAGGTCGTTCTCGGTGTGCAGAGGGAATTGCTTTTGCAATTTACATCTTTCCTTTTGACTTTTGGAGCTTTCCTCCTTGCTTCACTCAAAATGGCGTAGTGATTCGGTGGATTTGGCTTGATGCCTTTGGCTCTACTGTCAACTGGTCGGTTGTAGGGATGTTGACTTCTCTGTGGGTACTTGCTGCTCTGGATCTCGTTCTTGTGTCTGTCTGAATTTGGTGGCGTTGGGGCTTTGTTGGAGGTGGTTTGGTTCAATTGGTGTTGCGGTGTGTGGTTGGGGGGTTGGCTCTTTTTGTTTGTGAGGTGTTTGCTGTGGGTGTTGGCTGTTGGTGTTGGCTTGTGTTGTCTCTTGTCGTTGCCTGGCTTTTTCGCTCGACTGTTGGTGATTGTTTTTCTGGCCGGATTTTGCGATTTCGGAGACTTTGCTGCTTGGGGTGGGGCTCTTCAATGTGTTGGATTTCTTCGTTGTGGGGTTTGGCGGTGGTGTTTCTGTTGGTGTGGGGTTGGCGCTGTTGCTTGGGTTTGCGATGATGATGATGGTGGTGGTGGTGGTGGTGGTGGTCTCTGGTGGTGGTTGGTGTGTGCGGCGGCTTTGTCCAGCGGCTGTGGTGGTGTTGGTTTTTCCATGGGCTTAGGGTTTGTGAGGGGTTTGGTTTCTGTGGAGTTGTGTTTGGGTTGGGCTTGTTGCCGTTGGGTTTTGTGTGGGCTGGGGTTTCTTTTTTCATTTGTCAGTTGTGTGGTGCATTTTTTTTACTTGTTTTGATCCGTGTGTTTGGTAGCTTTTGTTCACTTGGGCTTGTCCTTCATCTTTCCTGGATTTCGATCCAAACTCTGTATCACATTCCTATTTCGTAATGAAATCAGGTTTCGTCAAAAAAAAAAAAAAACTATACACCATGTAGACTCAATTTACCAGACGCTTGGTTTGACTGTCAATTTGGACGGTCAACACCATTGACTAACGTTCAACGCTCCAGTTCAATTCCTTGCCAGCACCAAAATTATAAAAAAAATTTGAATTGTGAATTATTTTCTAATTTCTATTATCTAATAAAAAAATAATATTGGAAAATAATAATAAATGTTGCTGGGAATATTTTGGAATTTGAATTTTTTTTTGTTTATTTGTGGTTTTTTATTTTATTATTACATAAATAAATGAATTATAGAAACAATTTGGAATTTGATTTTTTTTTTTGTTTATTTGTCATTAAGAGCATTCACAACAATGTAATTGCAAGTTCAATTGCATATGAAGTTATTTTTTCACCTCAATACTTTTGCAATCCAACTCATATAAATGTCGTTGCACCTACATCAATGCAATCCGCTTGATCCATGGATACATCAATTCAATACACTAATCTGTGGATCCAATCCAATTACCACTAGTTGAGGATAACAATTTCTAAAATCATGGATCAAAATTGATTGTTTGAGTAAAGATTGATTCAGAAATAAGGTATTAACCCATTCAACAACCCATGTTGTTGCCTCCATGAACAACAACAAAAGCAGTATAAGATGTGATGGTTGATCACCATTGTGGATGGGATTAAATCAACACAAACAGATCGAATGAGGATATTGGATAAGAGGAAGGGGAGAATCGAGTGGTTGCAGAGGATAAACCAAAACCAACAAGGAATCGCCACAGCCACTCTCCATTTCTTCCCAAACCCCAAATGGCCACCTCGATCGCCACCACCGCCACTCCCGTTCTCCCCCAATCACACCGCCACTTCTCCGCCGGCCCAACTCCAAAACCACCGCTGGCCCAACTCCCCAAAACCCAAATCCTCACCACCCTCACCGCCACTTTCGCCGCCGCCACAATCCTGACCGCCGGCCTCCCTTCCCTAGCCGAACCAAGCAATTACTCCCTCTACTACGGGACGGCGGCCAGCGCCGCCAACTACGGCGGCTACGGGGGAAACTCCGACAAGAAGGCCTCCGCCGAATACGTCTACGACGTCCCCGAGGGATGGAAAGAGCGCCTGGTCTCCAAAGTCGAGAAGGGCACCAACGGCACCGACAGCGAGTTCTTCAACCCGAAGAAGAAGGCCGAGAAGGAGTACCTCACTTTCCTCGCCGGGTTCCGCCAGCTGGCTCCCCGCGACGCCGTGCTCGACAATCTGGCGCTCTCCGACGTCGATCTCCAGGATCTGATCGCCACGGCAGAGGGAGTGGCGAGCGAGGAGAGGAAGGATGAGAGCGGCCAGGTGTATTACGAGTACGAGATCGACGGAGTGGGGAAGCATAGCTTGATTAAGGTGACTTGTGCTAGGAATAAGCTCTATGCTCATTTTGTCAGTGCGCCGGCGGCCGAGTGGAATCGTGATCGGGATACTCTCAGGCATCTCCATGAATCGTTCAAAACTGTTGGGTGATTGAAATTGAACCCCGGATTTGAGTTGATTTTGTATTGTATTTTGACCCGACATGAGTGAAGAAAATGGTGGGCTGTGTATAAAACTCCAATCGGCCTTTTGGCTTTGTTCATATACCCTGAATAAGTAGTCTCTGCTTCGGTGCTCTGTTTCTCTGTTTTCCTTCTGGGCAATCGTAAAGTGGTGAACTTTATATGTTTTCTATAGCGAAATCTTTAGTTGATAATGGGTTCGATTTCTCGGCTCAACTACAATCCGATGAACCAGAGGGCAGAGGAGGATTCAGCCATTTCCATGGCGACCCAGCTATCGAGCTGCGTCGATTTACAGCAGCTCAACCAAAATTTACGCATCTATGTCGCAGGCTGGGGTTTTACCCGATTGTTATACTATCCCCGTCGTGTTGAAAATCCTCGGGTCAAGTTTTTATCCATCTGGGTAGGCGGGCAGTTTCATTGTACGGCCCTGAAGCTGGGGCTACAGTCGGACGAGTATTGTGAGAATGGGTTAATTACCCTGTACTCGAAGTGTGAAGAGCCTCGCCTAGCGTTCAAGGTGTTCGACGAAAGTCCTGACAGAAAGCTGGGGTCTTGGAATCCCGTGATCGCAGGCCTCTGCCAATCGGGTAACGCCAAGGAAGCGATCGAGATGTTGTTAAATTAAGATGATGTTGCTATCCTTGCGAATGCGGCATGATGATGTTACCATAAAAATAATCAACGGAAAAGATTATTGGCGATTTATTTTCACACGGAACAAGTGGCGGTCGTTTGTTTTTGTGTGTGTACTGGATGGTGTGGTTTCGTTTGTTAGTTGTTACGTCGTTCGAATTGTACCAGGATGTTTGAGTGTCGTAGCAGAACTCCTCTCGTACTATTTAGCCTTCCCCCCGGCCTCATATGCATCCTACAAATGTCACATTCGAGACCCAACGCGTGTCTATGATCAAACCTTCATAACCGTTGGATTGCTCGGTACCTTCGAGAAGAATCCAGTGTCCTCTCTACGAACCCAGTTTTTTTACCTTTCCTTTCCTTCTTCCCCACATTCCGTTCCTCTCACTTTTTTTCTCTCAATTCTCTGGTAAGGGCAAGCAAGTTCTTAGCGTTTTACTTGGTTGATTTTTTTCGCCATCTTTCTCTGGTAAAGGTCAGTTTGTTTATCGATCGGTTTCTCTCTCTAAATTCCCATTTGGGTTTTTAGATTCTGGGTTTTGATTATGTGCAGCAAAATGATGTTTTCGCAGTTGGGTTTTTTTTTTTTTTCAGGTGGGAACGAAAAAATGAGTAGGAGTAGCCGTTCAAGCCGAACTCTTTACGTTGGTAATCTTCCTGGCGATATCCGCTTGAGGGAGGTTGAAGACCTGTTCTACAAGGTAAATCATGAAATATAGGTTACAGATTAATTGCTTGATGAATGATTGCTATCTGATTTGGATTTGTCAAATTGCAGTATGGCCCTATTGTTGACATCGACTTGAAAGTGCCCCCGAGGCCTCCTGGTTATGCTTTCGTTGAGGTGAGTAGAAGAGGGTTTTTTTTATTGTGGTTTCAATGCATTGAGTTGAACTTTTCTGCGGATTGTTGCATTCCTGTTGTAGTTGTTTTAGTTTTAATTCCATCTTCTGGGTAGATTTTTTGTCACTTTTGTATGTACATCGTAGTTCGATTCGCGTTTTGTTATGCTTACATGATTCCAAATTGTTATCTGGCATCCCAGTTTGAGGATCCTCGTGATGCTGAAGATGCGATTCGTGGTCGAGATGGGTATGACTTTGATGGCCACCGCCTAAGAGTAAGTCGGTTTCGAGATGGATTTGTTGGGTCGGTCTACTTTAGGAGGTACTTATTTTGCTGGTGTTTTGATGTTCACTGAATGCATTCTTTTGTTTGCAGGTTGAGCTTGCTCATGGAGGCCGCAGGCATTCATCACCTGTGGATCGCTATGACAGCTACAGTAGCAGCAGCAGTCGTGGACCATCAAGGCGATCTGACTATCGCGGTATCGTTTTCTTCCGTTCCCCTGATGTTTTCGCATTAGTCCGTGGTTGTTAATTGTGAATTCCATATCGATTCTTTATGCAGTTCTGGTCACCGGATTGCCTTCCTCTGCTTCATGGCAAGACTTGAAGGTATATATAACTGATCCTCGGGTGCTGATGAGTGTTAGTTGGATCCTATGAATGTCACTTGCCGTGTCTAAGCTTCTTCTCGTTCTTTTAATGATCAGGATCATATGCGCCGAGCTGGTGATGTCTGCTTTTCTCAGGTCTTTCGTGATCGCGGAGGTATATTCCAGTTGATTTCGCATAGGTTATTTATGTTACAGATGGAAATTATCCTGCTCACAACTTGCATTGTCTTCTCAAGTCTCAACTTTGACTTTCGGACACCCTTAAGCCTTGATGTGATGTTCTGTTGCTTCTCTCTGGTTCTGTAGGCATGCGGGGGATTGTGGAGTACACAAGCTATGATGATATGAAATATGCTGTAGGTCCATTCCCTAATGTCTTTCTTTGGATGTATTAGTATCCACATTCGTTGGCGTCTCTCATTTGGGTTTATGTTCTTCCAGATTAGGAAACTTGATGATTCTGAATTTCGAAATGCATACTCTCGTGCTTATATACGGGTAAGTAGGGAGTTTCATTCTTACACACCATTGGGTTTCGCCGGTTCGGTTACCTTCAATGGCTAAATAACTTGGCATCCATCTACAATTTCTTGACTTTTTGCTAGGTACGGGAAGATTATTCAGGGAGAAGCTACTCAAGGAGCCCGTATGACTCCAGACGCAGCTATTCTAGGAGCCCGTATGACTCAAGAAGTCCTTATCGTTCAAGGAGAAGTTATTCCAGAAGTCCCGAGTATTCAGCACAAAGCTATTCCAGGAGTCCCAGCCGCAGTCCTTATGCTTCGAGGAGCAGGAGCCGCAGCAGCTACAGTCCTATAAGCAGGAGGTAAGAAGAAACTAATCAACCCTTAAGATAGTGATTTTCTTTCATTTTAGTAGAGGATTAACTAATTGAGTCTTACATCTCTTGGTTACAGCGTGTCTCCTGTGGCCAGATATCGATCTGAGTCCCCTCGTAGGTCTGTCTCAAGGTACTGTGCTCCTCATATCTGGTTCTTGGCTCTTGATTTCTACCAATCCTGTTTCACTACTGAAGCTGCGATAACCAAACATGTTACCCCTGTTTATGGTTCTTGGTGTTATATAACCTCGTGCATTTTCCTCCCTTTTTGGGTTGATCTGGGTCGAACAAGTTTAAGTCTTTTTGACCATGGCTTAATCTTGGTTCCTGTTCTTTTATGGCCTTTCCTAGTACTTTGTTCGTACGTGCACTCATAAGCCTGATAATCTCACATCATTCAGTCTTAAGCTTCTTCTAAAGACCGATGCGTACTAACAACCGGCATATGATAAGACTCAGATCTTGAGTTCTTCCCCCTTTCTTTTGAAGAAAGAAACCATCCAATTTGTTATATGGTGTGACAAGATCCGCCAGTATACTATCTCCGGAGTCGGTTTGGGAGCTTTGTTTCCCTTATTCCCCGCATCTTTCTCACAATTTATCTACAAAATAAGAGTGTCCTTGAGAGCTTCAACCATATCCATTTTGCTCAAATATCCGCACTGGCCTTTTTGCATTTCTCCTTTGTAGAACTATTCCCGCCAGGTTATGCAGAGTCACTCTTTCATGTTTGTTTGATAGATGTGGCTTTTTGCAGCAACACGACGGAGATTGGATTTTAATTACGTGAAGGGATGTGGGTGCTCTTATGCCTACAGTTCCTTGGTTTGATTTGTGTCGAGGTAATCCGGGTGATATTGAAGTGAAAAGCTAACCAACCCCATCATTGCTCTTCATATGGACTATGGTCTCTCATTCTCACTCTGATGAACTTGTTGATTCTGATTCACTTGGTGGTATTATAAGCCCAGATTACCGCGCGAGTGGCCTAGTTGCTGTCGTGGGACGCCAAGAATCCCTCTAGTCTCATTAGCATCGTAAAGTTGTCCCGATGACATGCCCTCATTCACTTAGCTGCTTGTCGCGCGATGCATGCGATTGCGAGTGTTTTGGGACCTATGGATCGAAGATGTTGACGGAGTTTGATTACTTGAATCACGAAAGACTGGGAGTTGTGTTCATTGCTGATCTGTTGATTTTTGCTTCTTGCAGGTCTCGGTCGCGGTCAAGGTCACCATACTGATGTTAAGCGTCGAATGGGAGGCGAGCTCAGGTTGCATTGAGGTGTCATCATTCAGCATTTGCCATTGATGGCTGGTTGCTTAGGGAGACTTAGATAGCTGGTGGTCCCCAAATTCGCCAGTGGAAGATGGTAGTAGTATGATAGATGTTTGAGGCAGTGGACAATGGATATGTTGGAAGTAGTCTAAGATAAGACTTGATTTGGAGGATGCTTTATTGAGCTTCTGTATTTGCTTGTTAGTATTACCCTGGATCCTATATGCTAGCGGATGGTATGGATGTGTGGTTGTTGACATGGATTGATTGCCGTGGTGGTAGATTGATCAATATACTGTGATATTGGACCTAGCTACAGCCTGTTTGCGGTATCGAAAACAAGTATTTTGTCAGGTTTGGTTGTGAAGTTGTTTGCATATAAAATTTGTGACAGTTTCGAAAGATTGAGATTCTCGACAGACCAAACCCAAAATCCACCGGCTCACCTGTAGGATCTTCTACTACAGCTGCGTCTGCTCCTTTAGGATTTAGGATCCCAACGGGTTGGGGCGGATTTTGTCAAACTCAAATCCGTTGGTTTATTCGTCAAACCCTTATTCGTCGAAAAAATTCAGGGTAAAACTCGCTGGGTTTGAAAAACTCAACCCAACCTGCTGGGTATCCGCAGGTTCATGGGCGTAAATTTTTATAGTGAAATTTTTTACAATAACAAGTTTCTTTCAAAATAAAAGTTTAACATAAATTTTCTCATACAAATTATTCATACAAAAAACACCAATCTAGAGCATAAAAGCAAACCGCAAATGATCAATAAAAATTGTTCAAGATTAAAGATAAAAAACATGATTAATTGAAAACTTCTTCCTCTTTGTCAACCAAGCTTTTTCACTCTCCACTCCATAGTATGAACTTTATTCTAAACAATTAGAAAGAACAAATTATGCATGCTCCACAAACATAAAGAATATTAGTTGTTTAAGAAAGATATATTGTTTAGAATATTTAATATACAAAGTAATTATATGTGTGTGGGCGGGTACCCATGGGGCGGATTTATCTAAATCCAAACCCAATCCAACCCGATGAACAGTGTAGCGGATTTAGACCCGAACCTAGCACAAAACCCGTCAACACGGGTAAAACCCACGTTGACCAGGTTGGATCGAGTGGGTACCCGTGATTCGGGTTTTGTTGCCATTCATATGCTCCTCTCCTCTTCTCCTCCACAAAAGGAGCATTTTTCGCTATAAAGTCGTTCTAAGTTGTTACCTCGTGGAGATGGTCCATTTCAAGTTCTCGTGTGCATCAATAATAATGCTTACAAGATACTTGGTATGCTAGGATAGTGTCAGTTCTCTTTCAATGTTTTGGGCTTGGCTCCTTTTCTTGATGATGATATATAATCGAGGAAAAATCATTTTTCTGGTTGATAATGGTGAGGACATCAACACCAAAGCAATCAAAGACTAGTCAATCTGCTTCAATTTCAATATTGGTGTGGGATGATGTCGCCCAAAAGAAAAGTTCAATTACTCGAAGACAGAGGAAAACATTCAAAGCTCAATTACAAGTTTATTTGGTGGAGTATTTCTCATCGTTAAAGTATGATTCGTTCATGGGATAAAAGGTTAATATAATCCACGTTCAAAATAAGAAAGACGAATTAGAATAGCCTAAATAAAAACATTCTAAATGCCAAATTATCCATACTTGCGCGGCTCAAGTTATCCTTCCACGAAAAGAAGAAGGAAAGAGATTGCTTAACTGCTAAGAAGCTTCCTTTAACATTAAAAACGAGTTTTAGAGATTACTTAACTATTAAGAAGTTCGTTTTAGCATTTAAAACGAGCTATTATGTTTCTTAGTTAAATAGAGGTTGTATTGCCTACAGGTTAGAAAACTTTTGATCAACTAAAAACTCTTATTTGAGTGTTCATTCTTGAAACTCTTTTATCCTTCTTAGTCCGTTTGCTGCGGAATTGTGCTGTATAGAAGGAATTGTGTCTGCGCCTTCGGAAGCTGTGGTGGATTGAACGGAAGGAATGAACGCAGCGGGAGCAGATTGCCTGATTCCGGGAGAAGGAGAGGCAAAAGTCCTCGTTTCTGGAGAACGGAGAAAAGAAACTAGGTCGCGGCCTTCCATTTTTGAGGTTTTGGAGACGGAAGGTAGGAATCGCCTCAATAACGGGAGATCGAATTGCGGCGGCGTTTTGCTCGAGGATCATCGCGACGAGATGGGAGGAATTGACAACGAGCTTCCGGTGTCGCCGGTAGCTGGAGATTCTGGTGCAGAAGGAGGAACAAGGCAGGGGAATTGCAGCGGTTTGGCCGGCGAATTGGAGACGGATTCGTCCTCTAGCGGGAATCAGGCGCCAAAGGGACCGCAGCTGCATTTCGCGTTGGATAGCGGATCGATGGTTTACCGCGCAAAACCTGTTCTGATTGTGAAGGATATCGGCGGCCAGGCGGCGGGAGGCGGCGGAGAGGGACAGGGGAGGAGGATGCAACGCCGGACGGTGATTCTGGCGGGAATGTGCCACAGCAGGGTGCCGGTGGTTTGTCTTTACGATTCGCTCCGTTTGCCATTCGACTGAAACGCAGAGTTTCTTGTGACGCTGTGGTCGGTTGTCACAGTTTGACTTGTACAACAAGAAAGATAGATAAATAAATAATACGAAAGAGGAGAAGATCCCTAATGAATGATACTTGAAAATCTTTCAATTAGAGGATTCATCATCGATTCGAGTAAGCTTCGACTACATACCAGATTCTGGAATCTAGTTCAAGATCGCATCGATAGGTCCCTGCGCAAGTTTCGACATAAACTAAACCGCGCACCAATGACCAAGTCGGTATGGAGTTCGAACAAATCAGTATTTGCCATGACATCAAGAACATGTAACGGAACCAGATGACACTGAACCAACTGAAACCAGAAGACGTTAGTCCGCAACCCGAAGGATTCGAAAGTGCAAAGCCAACAGAATGAATCGGAATTCACCATCTAGACACATAACATTAACAATTTTCTTATATCCTCGGAAAGGCAAAGAAACCGGAGGAAGCCACAAATGATGTTCATAGCACAGCCTGCATCAATCAAGCACACTGCCAAAACAGTCAGGCCAAGCTGCCCACATGAAAAATAAAACACCATTGTTCTCGGGCCACTTCCATGGCACTATCGATCGCGCTCCCCGTCGAATCGATCCCCAAAACCATCATACATCAGTTATGGTTTAAGCAATTACACATAGTTCTTCTTCATCCGCTTTCTGGGTTTCCCACAGCAGTCTGGTAAAAACGAGTTTTGCTTCACTTCACCCCTCAACAAGGATATAAAACTCTCCACGCAGTGAAACACACTACGAGCGATTCTGCCTCTGACGGAAGCTCCCCGATCGGATCCCTCCACCTGCCTCGGACCCACCGCTGCCTTGCTGGTATGTGGGCCCCCAGCCTGAATCTCTATCAGGATGGCTGTTGTTCAAAGGGAACAATGGCTCCCATGCCCGGAACCCAGTCCGGGACGAAGCATTCTCCGGCTCTTGGTAGTTCCGCCCTGATGATGTCGTCCCTGCTGACGGGAAGAAGTAAAACCCAGCCTGGTCGGGCGTCGGTGGGATCACTCGCGACAGTCCCCTGTGGCTGCTGCTGCTCGGTCTTCGTGCTGAGGTGGCAATCAGGGGAGGAGCATGAATCGGTGGGGAGCTCCCGGGCTGTTGTTGATAGTAGTCCTGAAGAGCTTGAACTCGATCGCGTGCCCTTGCATTGCTGCCTTGATAAGTTGGAGTGCCCGAAGGAGGCACTGAGCTTCCGGCTCTGGCACCAGAACTGTAAGTAGTATAAAAATGGATAATGAAAGACTCAGTTAACTGAAGAAGAAGAAGAAGAAGAAGAAAACAATTGTTTGTGAAAGCCAAACCTAAAATTCAAACAAACTCAGTACACACAACTCAGAGGGAGTAAAAAATAAACCAAAGCTATATTAAGATATTCATTCACTAAAGTTCCAAAAGAAGACAAATCCAGCCGAGAGGAATCAATAGCAGAAGTTGTCCAATGAAGTTCTATCATTCTCAATTTATAATCAAAATCTTGTCATAAGTAACTTGGACTGCATTTCAGCTAACCGATCAGTTAATTCTAGTAAACACTCTGGATAACTGGCAGAACACCAATTTTTAATTTGATTGAGCACACAGTCAAGCAACTGAAACAGCCCAAATCAACACTGTCTCTTAAACAAAGACATACCCTGGATTTATGACGAAGGGATGCATGAATGATCCTGCTCTCTGAGGACCGACATTATTGCTTCTACCCACAGCTCTTTGAGCATTCGGAGGGAGGGAACTCTGATCAACACCACCAATGCGACTGCTTGTTGTGGAGAATGGAGGGGACTGATGCTCCCAACTGTGATAATGGAGATCCAGGGCAGCAGGGAAGCCATAGGAGCTCGCCATGTCGCTAGGTACTGATGGAGCATTCCAGTGGCCATTAAAGTTGGATGTATCTGAAACGCCAGCACTGGAGCTTGAGGACGAAGGGTGGATCGGTCCAAAGTAAGCAATATAAGGACAAGCATTGCTTGCTGACGATATGGCGGCTGCGTGTTCCGCAAAAACAGCAGGCTGGCCCAGCAGATCGTGATCTAGAATATCATAGGAATACAATACTATTATATCAGATTGAAAGAAAATATAATACTGGAATGTCAAATAATACAGTACTAGAATATCAGAATGAAAAAACTTACATGCATTCAGTGACAACTCCCCTTCCCTGCAAATCAGAAAATAAAACGATTCAAGGAAGGGAAAAAGCAATTAGATGGTCAACACATTCATGGCCAAGCTCTTGGGACTAGTGGTTAAAGTTTCAATGACACGCAGAAGGATACTCACTCAAAAGATGAAGGTGGTCTCGTCAAGCTACCACCAAAAGGACAATAGTGAAATCCAAGAGACTGCAAAAAACAAAACATAAATGAGAAACTAGGAAGACGGGTCATCTGGTTCCCCAAGTAAAAGATATCTAGCTTTAAGAAAAAAAACTTCTGATGGGGAGGATACCCAGACGACGGCTAACTTCCCAGGATTGAGTCAATATAGATAAAGAGCACGAGATGCCTTAGTGGGACCCCCATCAACATGACCACCAGTCTCGCGACAAGATAGGAAGACAAATGCCATAAAAAGAAAGAGATTCATTCAACCCCGGGTGGAACAAACTAAGCCTTACCGGCTAGGCACCTCTATGCCGAAGTGACTTCTGATCAAAAAGTTTCATCCATCGGGAAATCCAATGTGTAGTTGGCTCAGCCAATCCCTAGATAGACCCCCGTTTAGCTAAGAAATTGAGTAGGCCCTGTAGAGGCATATGAGTTAACCAGGCTTTTTT